GTGTCCTATAAGAGTGTCCCACAAGAGTGTCCCACAAGAGTGTCCTATAAGAGTGTCCCACAGGAGTTTCCTACAAGAGTGACCCACAAGAGTGTCCTACAAGAGTGTCCTACAAGAGTGTCGCGTAAGATTGTCCCACAAGAGTGTCCTGCAAGTGACCCACAAGAGTGTCCCACAAGAGTGTCCTGCAAGTGACCCACACAAGTGCTCTACAAGAGTGTCCCACAAGAGTGTCCTACAAGAGTGTCCCACAAGAGTGTCCCACAAGAGTGTCCTATAAGAGTGTCCCACAAGAGTGTCCTACAAGAGTGTCCTACAAGAGTTTCCTACAAGAGTGACCCACAAGAGTGTGCTACAAGAGTGTCCTACAGAGTGTCCCGCAAGAGTGTCCTACAAGTGTCATTTGGACATATTAGTTTGTCGAACGTGTTTGCATTCGGGTTCGTGGGTTCCATCTTGTTTCTTAAAGTAGAGTATTATTGAATCAAATCTTGCGTGCTAATTAATCATGGATTTGGCGCAAGCACCTTCCAGCATACTTGCTCAAACTACTGCAGTCATTCTCATTCTTTCTTCGTGGATGTGAGCCACGGTTGACATTTATAACTAAATCCGAGATGTGGTGAGAGCATTATCAAACATCATTGTTCAGGTTGAGTGTATATACTGTAGTATTATGGTTTTGTGCTTGGGCATACTTCCGTAAATATTGAGCGTACCTCTACCGCATGTCTTGGACGCCTCGATGCGTCTGCACACCTACACACACACCGCAAACTTAGACACAATTGCAAACGCCACACCCCGATTATACAATTTTTCTTATGCTAGTTCTCTTTCAAGTTTAAACAGGGCCCGCTGCTTTGTTCGTTGGGAAACGAGGTTGGGAACAGTGTTGACAACGTGCATGATCACCCGATTTGCCAAATGCTGATGGTTGACGTTGATTCTATAATTACAAACTTTGATCGCAGGTTTTTTCCCTCTATCTTTGGTCATGTTTTACTCAGATACCTAACTTGCCCAACACGCTAGGCCGCTCCTACCCCATCTTTTCGGGGTTTGGTTCAGGGCACCTGGCACAAAACACTTTTCAAGTCTGTATCATTAAGCCATACACTTGTCACCAGTAGCAGCTCTTTATCTTGGAAGGACATCCAGAAAACCATCTCAAAAGAATCCTGGAATCCCTTGAAACGGCATCTGCTTGGAACACTAAATGCATCCAAATATGCATCCAAATGCTTTTCCCAAATCTTCGTGGTGCGTTTCTTCCATCCACATCCCTTCTCACAGTCTGAGGTTCTCGGCTGCGTCTATCCCTGCCAGGGCTCGTACCACGTCCGTGCTGCGACCAGATCCTTGGCCTCCGCCTTTTGCCGGATCACCGCTTCATAGGCACGGCGCGCAGCGCTGTCCTGCGCGTGGCGAAATTTCAGCACTCCACCATGGAAGGTTGCAAAACTGAATAGAACTACCACACCCCACTAGCAATGCTTCGAAGAAGCCAAGAACATGACAAATCGAGCATCGCCAGCATCGGCAGTAGGAGGGAAGGAGGGAATGTTAGTCCATACTGCCGAGAAAGTTCTCTTACTAATGTTGGCTCCGAATAGTGGATCCATGAGGTCCATGCCAATGAAAGAGTAGACGGAAGAAACATTGAGCGTTACAGGTCAATAAGTTGTTATTGGAGGGTTCAATCTGCGGATGGTTCACATTCCCCCCCGGTTTTCACAAAGGGTTTCTTTGATTCTGCTCCGTGAATCCAACGTTACAGCAGTAACTTTGGACTCTCAAGGGCGACATAGCTGCTGGACTCGAGCAACCAAGTTCTTCTCGAAGGTGTGGGGAGGTTCTATTCAGAATGACAATTACAACATATGCCAAAACAATAAGTGCGGTTATGTGCGGTTGTATTTGGGATCTTTTTTTCGCGGCTGTGGTTTCTCTATTGTTCCTCAAGTGTAAATGGAAAGCTAGCGGTTGGTAGAACAAATAACTATCCAGGAGGCCTTGTTCCATGTCCATTATTATTTCAGGACGTCTACCAGAAGCCTATATATATATATAAGTAAACAAAAACGTCAGTCGCAGGGCGAACAAGCATGAGACAAGCGCGTCATAATCGAGAAGGGAGTAAAGAATGAGCGAGTTTTGTTCATATGATGCACTTGGGTGGTTGCTTGAGGCGAACCAAAACTCAACAACCTGTGGAGCTGGGCACAAAACAAACAACAAGAGTAGCAAAAGTATAGAAGGCCAGAAAAGCAAGAATAAAGTCACGCAAACTCAAGGCTTAAAAAGCAACTGGTACAAAGCAACGGCAACAAAGGCCATAGAAAGCACAAGCATTTAAGAAAGGGAAACAATACGCCACAAGAAGACGCGAAGCAGGAAAGTAAAGAAAAGCAGGAGAAAAGCCAGGAAGAGCGAGACAAGTGCAAAGAAGCAGGACAAACAAGAAAAGCAAAAGAAATCACGGGAAGCAATGAAAAGCAAAGGAGAAGCAAGGATAAGCAAAACAAGCACAAAAAAGCAAGAAAAGCATGATACATCATAGAGAAACAATAAACAATGAAAAGCGGGAAAAACTAAATCCCCAAACACCTAAACGCAACACAACATTTTCCCGCCCTCCAACAATAAGCAGTTTTGTCCATGTCTTTCTACTGTCAGCTGGTGGAGAGTGGTTCGGGTGGTTGCGAGGCTGTCCACCTTGCACAGTTCAATTTTAGAGATCGCGATGGCGCAATCCACTGCCTTCATCATTCGCATGGTGATTTCGGAGGCGTTGGCACCGGCCTGAGCCAGTCGGCCGTCCGCATCTACACTGCGGTGTAAAGGAGGGGAAGTCATGTGAACGAATGCTGGGGACATCTTACGCCAATGCTCTAAAGAACCCACAGTAACTATAGTTATATAAAGTATAAACAACTATACAATATATAATATATACTATTGTCACTAGTCACTTTTCTTCATCAGTGCAGGTTCGCATTCGGGTGAACTGAATGGCCTTGTTCGAGCCCTAGTTACCCTAGTGGGGGCCATCTAATCTACCGGGACACTGCAAAGTACCTCAATGCTAACGTGCCTCTCACCGGTTCTCAACCTGATGAGCTTGACGTCTCTTGTATAAATCTCCCAGGCCTGAACTACTCGCTTGATCCACTGTTCAGCCATTGAAGTGTTGCCACTCTGCAAGGAGCAGCTGAGGAGCCGCAAGCACAGGGACCTTAACTTGCAACCAGTCTTACTGGTAGGGTAGGTCATCTTTATGTCTTCAGCCAAATCTAACGGCCTGCACAGTAACACTGGACATGCGCCGGGGAAAAACAGACTTGCAAGGACCTCTTACTACCGATAAGAGAAGTCACTGGCGGACTTTCCATTGAAAGGCTGAGTGGCTGATCCACCGTAGCATTCTGGTCTTCTTGCTGCTGGAATGCCTGACCCAGAGAGCCTTCTTTGACAAAATCATGCGCAAACCACACTTCTTTTTGACTTGCTAAGATGAATCAACACTACGGTGGCACCACAGTTTGCTTGGCTCAGCCCCACTTCTCGTTGTCGATTTTTCGGTGTTGAATGAATTCAATGAATGGCGAGGTTAGATTCTGCTGTTTCACGAAAACATCACACTCTGGTTTGCGGAAGATCCACAAACACCAGGACTGCCACCTGTTGATGATGCATCACCGGACGTGCTTTGGGGGTTTCTTGGACCTAACAGCACCCCCCAGAGACTACAGCAGCAAAACCATTGGTTGGAGGGGCACAGGCATTGTGGCAAAACATACCGTGCGCCGGAAGAATTAACATTGCACCAGCTGGGGGATCGGGCGCGCGATGAGGTAAAGATGCGAAATGCCAAGTCTGCCAAGTCAAGTCAATCTCGGAACTCATCTCATGTCAAAACGACGAATAGCAAAAGCCTTGGGGCCTTCAAACGAATTTGGCAAAACTCATCATATGCCCGATAACCCATCACAGGTTGAGGCTGTGCATCGAATGCCTGAAACCATCTCTCTGCTCCCTCCAGATTGCACCCTCGTGCGGCAGCTCTGAGCAGCGCTTCTGCGGCCCCCGGGGGAAGTGATGCTCCCGAGGATGCGTTGTGGAGGATGGACAGCCATCGCTCGGCTACAGGCAACGGAACACCTCAAACAACAGCAGGCTACCGGAACCGATGATGGCACCATCGTGCTAGATCATGGACTTGGGATGTCTTGGGGTCCAGGGTCCCAAATGTACCACATACCTGCGAATGAATTGTTGGTCGTCCTGCCTTTGAACTTTAAATCAGCGTCCAAGTCTTCGACCGTCGGGAGAACTGCAGCTTTCAAGCGTTTCACGACCGGCGCCAAGCGACATTGCCCAATGACCTGCCAAAGATTGGCTGCCTTGGCGAGGTGGCAACCAGTCAAAAAAAGGTGACGAAAGAAGTGCTAAACATTGACCAGGATCACTGATCCTGATCCTTTGGGTCATGACTTGGATTTCAAACATGTTCAAACGATCTTCAAATCACCCCGCTCTCAAGAATCCCAGTTCCAGGACCATCCGATGTTGTTCATCATCTGAGCGTACCACAAATTCATTGATTTTCTTCCTCAATTGTGTGGACCCTATCAAATCGATGGTCGATAGCGGCAAGCTCTTTTACTCAATGCGTCAACAAACCAATTGCGGCTTGAAGCTTTAGGTCTGCTTATATAGGGGGAAACCAGTCGTTGCCACATGTCAGTGGGCATAGTCTAGCTCCCTTAAGACCGCACATGAACGCACATGTTTTTGCTCGGCATGTCTGTTGGGTAGGTTTGCAATTCCACTGCACGGCACAAAGACACATGCACCATCCCGACCACTCCAGCTACCCCCTCCCCACAGATCCACATACCCTGTGAGAAGGTGGTTGGGAATCGATACTGTTTATAGTATTTCCGGCGCTGTGCATGAAAGCAAATCCAGGATCCAACATGGAATAGATCCAACAACATCAACCACACCGGAAGGCTTTTGGAATCATAGACCCCTCGTTCTCCATGGTCAGGGCACGGCCTCAGGTGCTGCAGGTGCGAAGCTGGCGGCGGTGCGTAGCCACTGCTCCGCTGCGGGGAGATCACTCCTCTTGGCGGCGTCGCAGGCCAGTAGGATGCACCTGCGAGTTCGATCAACTCACCCAACCAAAGTAAAGTCTGGGATTCCCAAACCGAAAATGCTGTCCTCTTACTTTCACACTTAGTACAGGTTTGAGGTAGTGTTCAAGTGACACATTGAGAAACCCTTAGGCTGTGGAACAGACCTCAAAATACCAGCCAAGCACCAGGAAAATCATGAGCAAAGGCAAAGTTTGTTTAGAGCTCCCTCGCGCTGACACCCACTTGTCTTGGTATAAGAATCGGTCTGAACACCAATCTGGCAGGTGGACTGAAGACTTGCAATAAAGGTTGTGCGTTTTGGCCACCCCCACCATCCTTGAAGAATTCCAGTCAGAACAGGTGTAGCGAGTCCCCCCAACAGCTTATGCTCCCTGCGATTTAAACCTGGCAGCACACTCTGTCCATGCCCATGCCCGCCCTGTCCCTTCTCACAAATCGATATTCACGGCACATATTGGGATCTGGCTTCTCTTCCATCAATCCTTCATCTTGCAACTCCGAGAGCCATCTAGGCCTCAAGACTCAAACCCAACAGGCGGTTTTAAAGGAGCGCATGCCTCTTCTTGCCAGTGTTGCTGGACAACTCTAAGACCTAAAGCCATGGCTAGGCTCAAACACGTGGTAGCCCAAAGCCTCGACCTTCAGTGATGTTTGCTGGCACCCTGCCTCCCTGTTTGATCGCCAGCAGCGTGCTGGATGGAACAAAGCAATTCAACAACCACTTGGAATACCATGCTGGCCCACTGCTCCACAACCGAAGGCTTTCCCATGACTTGCCTGACATGTCAGCCTACAGGTCCACCCGTGATCTCTCACTCCAATAGCTGCCAAGTACAGTAATTTGTTGGGGCTCCCAAAGCCTCATGCATGGAAACATAGATGCGCACGAGCACTCCAAAGTGAACAGCATTCCAGACTGGCAGTGTTCATCGACCATGTGTTCAGGATGTTTGAGGGCCTTTGGTTTTACTGCCAATGTCCAAGTCAAACCCTGCTTCGCCGGGCGGCAGCTTCTGCTTTGAGGTCTTCTCCGCGCGCATCGCTGACCGTGAACGCCAGTGTGGCAACAGGTGGAGAGAGAAGGCGCAAGAGCGCCTGGGCACTTGGCTCCAGCGCTGATGTTCCAACGGGTTTACGTTGTCAGTTTGCTGTGAAAAGGGCCCGTGACACGCAATTTTATTCAAACAAGTGCTCCTGTGCCCTTTGGAAAGTGTAGCACCGATACTAATGGATGGCGGAAGAGTGCGGCGTTCATGCACTTACACAAATACAGAACAAGGAGAAGTATCCCCTGGAACTAGTAACTAGTGGAACCCCAAACAGCACATGTTTTCACAAAACTGGTCATCCCTCCGCATCCTTGCGCATGGAGGGATAGCCTCATCCGTCCATCAACCTTCCTTCAGCTGAGGTGCAGCCCATTGCACGTTGTGCGTAGGACTTCGCAGGCACAAAGCGCACAGCCGAGCGCTGCAACTGAAGCCAGCAACTTTGCCATGTCACTTGATCTGCGATCTGCAGAAGTTGGGCCCAGCGGCTGGCTTTGCGCCCCAAACGGAGGCGAGAAAGGAAGGAAGAAAGAGTTTGACCGACCATAAGTGAGCGCAGTTGTTCTTACTCAATATGTGCCATGTCTGACACACAACTGATGAGACACAACCCTGCACGGCTAGCGGCTAACGGCACATGGACATGGGCCCGTCAATCGGGCTCAATCTGACAAGACAACGATAGATTGACAGTTTACATCAACTCATTCAAAGTGTGGGCTGCAGGACATGTGCTGGCTATCGAGCTAAGGGAGTCTAGCTTGGGTATCGATTCAACCATCAAAATTGATGTGATGTTAGGATTGCCAGGGCCTTCTTTGAGCCCGGTCTGCAGTTGTCGTATCAGTCTGCTTTGGTGCAGGTCAAGACTCGCCAAACCTGGTTCATGTAAGTTGGGAAATGTCATGAAGGTCCTCACTCCGCAAACCTGGTTCACGAGCCTCAATCCCCCACGCTGTCAAACCTTTGAAATGTCTGGGCCTCCTGTGGATGCAACTGTGTTGGGTGGAAGAAAGCTGGTGGATTGGTAAACTGCTTGTCCTGCCTGGTCCGAATCCCACACTTCAGCCATTGGACCCAAGAGATCATGTTGGAAGTACCACACCAAAATGGACTGTACGGGGGGACCTCGGAAGATCTTGAAAGAAAACTAAGCTAGTGAGCTCCGGTCCAACCGTCTGCGGGCAAAGATCTGCCAACCCCGCTGGCCTAGAACACCTGCGGAGACTCCGGCAGACCTGGGAGAATGAGAAACACTGAGGTCAATTGTTCAACCCATTCACTTTTTGCAATACAGCAGGGCGTCGGTTCCTTTATTTGGGGGAGTGTTCACCGGCCTTGCCAGCGGGGTGCACCTATAAGCGGCACAAAACTTCAACCACAGCAAATGCAGCACCTTGCTTCCTTTAGCATGTCGCGCATTGAATCTGACCCCACCCACTTCCAACAGGAGCAACATCCAAGCGCGAGGGTCAAAAATGACTTTAAGGGATTGGACTTCCCTCACCAAAAGGATGAGCAACTAATAGCATCCAAAACTCCAAGAAGACAAAGTTCCTCTTATATACAGTGCATATATATATATATTATAATATATAGCTTCTCCACTCTGTCCACTAGGGCATCTCACACTCCACCGCGGATGGTCCCAGAAGTGGCACCAGTACTGGCGAAACCGACGTGAAGGACGGTTGGCCAAAAAGCGCAGTTGTGGCCCCTCGTTTAGGCAGTCAACAGTAAACATCCGTAAACTGAGATAGGTAGGACTATGTAGGACAAAAGGAGGGGGCTTATCAAGTCACCCACGATGTCTAGTGCAGTTTGGCGTGTGTCAAAGCACTTTCGGAGGATGTATATATAGTTGGATCAATCTGGAGGAGAAGTATAAACAAAATATGACAAGATGTTTTCGAACAATGGGTATCCCAAAACCTTAGGTAGGTCAAAAGGCTGATTTCATCGATTCGGTGTGGCTTGACATGGCTTAACAATCCTCCACGATCAATACAGGGCTTAACTTATTCAATCTTATTCCGCCGTGCAGGATTTGGGGGATTCGATGTCCCAGCGGGTCAATCGGTACACCTGTGGTACGTTGGGCTTTTTTGATCCAGAGGATTCCAGTGTATGATGCTGGTCGGGCAGTGATGGCCTGCACCACAAGGAGATCAACCGATTCTTGGCAAAGAGTCGGGAAGGATCCTTGTTGCTTTGGGAAGCTCTGGGAAGTAACAGGAAGCTACTAGGTGGAGGCCATCGCTATTAGGTTGGAGGCCATGGCTACTAGTAACAAGAAGCTACTAGTAATATCTGGTAATAATCTATCCTGGCATTGCATTCGAGGTTCGTGACTACCACCCCACTCCGAGCCGGTGCGCCTGCGCATCCCTCGCCGGTTCTCGTTCACAGTCTTCTTCTTGACCTTCCCGGAAACACTCTAGTTTGATTGTCATAGGTCCCCTCCAGCAAAAGCTGTCCGAGCAGTCACATGCATCTCCAATGGACAAAGCAGCAATAACGGAGCAGAATAATGTCTTGATCATCTTGGCTTTTATGTGTTTTTAAATGTTTGAAGCTTTGACCATCGTTGTTGCAAAAATGGTGCGGCATATTATTTTCTTCGATTCCCCAGTTTGATGCCACCTCAATCCGCTCAATCTTGTGGCGATGCCAAGCACACAAAAGCTCTTGCTGTTGCAATGCCAAAGCTTCAGTGTCTGGTCAACTGCACAGGCAGGTGCCCTGCAAAACACGAACTTCTTCGAACCTCCTTGGGCAGCTCATAAACGGGATACGGCTCCTAGAGCGTGAGGACAAATGTTTCTTGGTTGCGATGTGCCCAGAAAGACAGCATCCAGAAGGTTGAGAGCCGGCTACCCCCCCCCGCCCAATAACAAGACTCTTAGTCTTAGTCGCTCGCAGCGGGCTGCGGGAACACCTCAACTGATGAGAACACATCACAGCGAGTTTTCGGATTGAATGTTCCTTCATAGCTTGCGTCTGTTTTCATAGCTTGCGGCTGTTCTCATGGGGGCAAGACTTTGCTGATGTCAAATAGCTTACTGATCGGACTCAGTCATTGAGTCTGGATGGTATATATATGTAAAGAGAGAGAGAGAGAGAGCGTTCCCTAGAAACATTCAGAAGCGGAGGCACACTCTGTTACAAACAAGTTGTCCGAGCTGAGGAGTCTGCCTCAGTCACGCTTGCTCTGCCCCTGAAGCATTCTCCAAACACCCAGCTACTGGCATCTTCCCCTATATGTCCTATATTTACTAATGCCCAGGGAGGACCAAGACACACAGAACTCCAAAATGTAAAGAGCCTCTCCTGCATGGTGAAGAGGCATCCTGGCTTCTTGACCTCACTGCCCACCAGCTTCTATGCGCGATTGGTCCATCATCAGCCGTAATATCGATCATGTTGAGATAGCAGCGGGGGTTCTATTCTCAGACCAAGGCAATGTGGCATGTCAATGGCAGATCTCAGTCTGGCGACCCCCTTGGACACCCCACCGCCACACTCACAGCTGCTTGTGACTCCTTTTCGCAAGCCTCGCAGAAGTCACATGGTCTGGGCATGTGGCTCTGCTCGATGCTCCGATTGAGAAGAAAATGCACATCGGTCCGGAAATCAGCCCCTCAAATCAAGCTCAATTCTCGGCGACAGCTGTTAGCGATCGACTATGAACACCCAGCCCGAGCCCACCTAAGATCTCAATCTGGTACTGTCTGGACAATACATATGAGACAAATGATGGCCGCTAAAGGATCCTGCTTGACCATGGATTATTCCCGCTTGGCCTGCTGAATCTGCTCGTGTTTTGGGACAGGGGCTGTCGCAAAGGCATCCTCAGGAATTGGATGCTCGCGGTCGCTTTGGGGGTTCATCATGCCAACCAATCACCCACCCTCAACTGGACCCCCTCTTCAAGCACATTTCCAGAGGAGGGTATATAAAAATAACAACAATAATAGTAGTAATAATTGTAATAGTAACAATAATATATATATATACATATATTAGGCAATGAATATCCAGTTTACAGTATATATATGTTTCCAGTTTCCACATAGTGTTGTTCATTATGCATGCATAAACAACATAACTCAGCTCAAGCATCTCTAAGGAGCAGGGTCTACCGGTATAGTATAGGCACTTGCATGGACGCCAATTACTTCCAAACCCAGTCAGTTTCAGTCTGATCAGTTCATGAGAAAAGCCAACACAAACTGCCTGCGGCAGTCCCTCTCAGCATGCGGCATAAATATCCCAACCAGTCACATTGACCTGGCGCTGGATGTCAACACATTGTAGCATGGAAATTGGTGTATTCATTCGGCGATGCAAAGAAGCAACTCGTCGATCTTCTTAAGGATCGTTCCTTCTGCTGACCAATCTGCACTTCAGTAAGCAAGCTTCGTTCCTCACAAAGTGGCCTTGGCCAAGACATGTTGCCCATCACGAGCGCAAATGCATACGCGGTAAAACCACGCATGACGCTATCAGTATGAAGACTTGTCCCGAGGAAACATGCTCAGCACAGTGCAGAACACAGTGCAGAACATGCTCAACACAGTGCAGTCATTGACAATTCATGCTGAGGCTACAGTGCAGGAGAAAACTGTAAGAAACGCTCAATTATAGGCTGAGGCCTGTGACACGATCTACGGTCCTTCCTAAAAGAGTTTCCATTGCCTTTGACCGGCCGTAGTACCTTCACAAGAGGTCATTGGAAAAAATAAGCAACTTCTTCGGGACCAAAGAATAACAAACACTCTCGAACACCATTAAGCTCTTACAAAAGAAACGGCTTTTCAAATACCTCTGGGAGAGGTTGCGCATCTCACGGATCCACGGATTTCGTTGTTTCATTTTTAGCTAGGGGGACGTAGATGTAAACATGATGCTGAATGCGGGCCCACGGGAACAGTTTCCTGATTCAAAACTAAATCACCATCCGTGGTTGTTCATTGTTCATGACCACCTTGCTTCGCCCCAGCGCTTTGCACAGTTTGGCGCAACAAATCGAGTCCGACACCGTTCTGTGCCTCTGCAGTTCCCCACGCGACGTCGGCGCCTCGGCAGTCTCCTGTGAAGGAGCTGCTGCGAAGACCTCCTTGCTCTTGTGCGGCCTGGCGCTGGCGATGCGGCGCCATCCCGGAGCAATGGGAAAAGACCAAAACGTGTGAAACCAACACGAGCGGAGATGTCAACAAAGGAAAGCCGGGCCGCCAGAAATCAAAGGAAAGCTTGTGTTTTGGATTCTTGCGGAGAGGTTGTCCCATTCTGACAATTCAAGCATTGTGTCCTGTAAGAAGTGTCCTCTCATGCTGCTTGCCACACTGATCGAGTTTGGAGTGGTTCAGCTTTAAAAAAGGAAAGCGATGTTTGTTCTGTTGCTTAACCCATGGTGTCTGCAACATCAGCTGCGTTGGTTCTTGCCGGA